CGATTCAACAACAAAACCAGAAACGCCCAGTTTAAAAAACGGGCAAGGGACTTCAGTAGACATTTCTCCAGAAAAAGACACACAGGTGGCCAGCAACGCACCAGAAGATGCCAGCATCCCTGGTGTCAGCGACGTGCAAGTCCAAACTCGACGCCAGCCCACTTCCCACGCACTAGAATGGCAATAACAGTAACAATGAAGGAAAGACGAAGTACCGAATGTTGGTGAGGACGTGGCAAAGCGGGACTGTGCAACAGCGAGGTGGCTGCAAGGGGAGTCGTCTGGGAGTTCGTTTCTCAAAAGGCTGAACAGGGAGTTACAACACCAGGTCAAGAACTGAAGGCAGGTCCTCAACCCCGGAAGTGTACACACGTGTTGGTGTGTTTGCGGTGGCCAGACAGGTCTCCACCATGCACGCCAGCTGATGGCTGGGTATCCCACGACAGAGAACAGAGAAGGAACAAGTGCCGACACACACCAGAACATGGAGAAGCCAGACACACGGGCCACAGCTCGTGATTCCGTTCATGTAAACTATTCCGAACAGGTGATTACAAATACGGATGGGACGCTGACGTGGTTGCCAAGGGCTGGGGGGATGGGAGCAGCTGCCTAATGGGTGTGGGGTTCCCTTCAGTGCGATAAAAATGCCTTGAAACTTGGGAGTGGTGAAGGCTGCACGTGGTGAAAGGACCCAGTGTCACTAACCCACGTGACTTTACACGGTAAGAGCTGTGTTTGCACTACGTGTCTCTCCACCGTGAAAGAGACCAGCCTGGGTTCGTCACTGTGCCTGGAGGAGCTGCTGTGGCTGCCTTGCCTTGAGAACACAGGAACAAGTGAGGCAGGTGTGACCGCCACCTGTCACCTGCCAGGGATCGCAGAAGGGGAGGAAACCCAGGCAACACTGGGGCACCGAGGAAGGCAGGGAAATGAGGGGAAATGCTCTTCCTGGCTGGGGCGGGCGAGGGCCAGGGAAGGCTCCTACAGAAGGAGGATAGTTTTTGTTTTATTTATGCTCACATAGCTTCTGAAGGAGGAGGACAAACTGCCCTTAGAGTGTTTATCTCATTATTTAAAAAAAAAAAAGTGTCATTAGAGGCCTCATCAGGCCAGCCTGTTCCTACATTTAACGGTGCAGTGTCTAGAGAAGAGGAAAGCTGGACAGAGGGCTAGCTCCCCTTGGGCTCTCCCCCAGGCTTCCTGCT